ATATATACACACACACACATATATGTGAGTGTGTGTACATGTGTGTGTATGGCCAGCTACATAATTTGTGGGACCCAGTCCAAAATGAAAATGTAGGGCCCTGTTCAAAAACAAAGTGAGCACTTCTGAGCATGGTCTTGTGCAACTGCACAGGTCGTATGTCTATGAAACCAGTTCTGTTTTGTGGGCACGTGTGTGTATTGACATATATAGCATGTGTGTATCTGAGAAGAAATGTTTAAAAATAAAAATACAAGCTTTTCCAAAGCTCTACTATCCAGCAGACTTCCTACGGACATAAATTCACAACATCCATTTCCCACTAAGTATTCACCATAACTTGAGATTCTTGGCATGTTAACTTTTCATTATGGAATCTCAAATAATTTCAATATTATTCATATTTATTTTCATAAATTTTTATGTTCAAACATACACAAAAAGAAAATATTGAAACTCTGTGTCATCACCCAGCTTCAACAAATATCAACATTTTGCATTTCTTGTTCCCTTCCCTTCCGTTTGTTTCTTTTGCTGAAGTATTTTTAAAGTAAATATCAGGCATTATGTCATTGCACTTGGAATACTTAACAATGTATCTCTAACAGATAAGGTCTTTTTAATTTTAACAAAACCACAATATTATTTAACACTTCATAAAATTAACAAGATTCCTCAATTATTGTAAAATAATCTGTATTCAGTTTCCTATCTCAAAAATATTTTATTGTTTAAATCAGGATCGAACATTGCATTTGGTTGATGTTTCTCTATGACATTTACCCCTGTGTTTTATTTCTTTCTTCTTGCAATTTATTTGAGGAAGGAACTGGATCATATATGGTCTGTAGAATTTTCTTCATTCAGAATTTGGCTGATGGTATGCCCACGGTGTCTAGTTAGTTCTAGAAGCTTGGTTTGATTCTGGCTCAATTTTTTTCCCCCAAGAATACTCCATAGGTGATGCTGTATACTTTCTTCTGCATCACTTCAGGAGGAACATGATGTCTGATTGTGCCACTTTCAGTGATTTTTAAGATTGATCAGTGGGTTCTGGTGGCATCATTCACTATAAAGCTTCTCATCAATCTCTCACCTAATGGTTTTAGCAGCCATTGATGATTGTAGCCTGGATCCAGTATTTCATTTTAGGCGTTGCAAAATAGTGATTTTCTGATTCTATCAAACCTCTTGCATTTATCATCTGTAATTCTTCCATAAAATTGAACTTTTCTAAGGCTGAATGAGAAAGATGGAATAAATATTTGATTTATCAATTTTTATGAGTTAGTGCCCTAGCAGCCTCCAAAGGTGATAAATGACTACAGTCAGGCGTTGGTGAACGACAGGGATACGTTTTGAGACATGCATCATTAGGCGATTTTGTCATCGTGCAAACAAGACAAAGTGTACTTAAACTTGGATGGTCACACATAGGCTGTATGCTATTGCTCCCAGGCTACAAACTTGTACAGCATATTACTGTACTGAATACTGTAGGTAATTATAAAACAATTTGTGTTTCTAAACATTTCTAAATATAGAAAAGGAATTTTTCAGCTCTATGATAATCTTATGGGACTACTGTTGTATATGCTGCCCATTGTTGACTGAAACATTGTCGTGCAGCACGTAACTGTTTCTTAAGCAAACGTATGGCCCAACCAGTATTTTGGAATAGTGTATATAGAATGGGTTGGAGTAGAAAGAGACTTTATTTGAAAAGTCCGAAGGCCAAAAGACTAAGAGGGCCTGAACAATAGGAGGGGACAAAACCAAGAGGAGTTGGCAACTAATTGGATGTGGGGATTAAGGAAAAGGTAGGCATC